GTTTAACCAACTTAAGAATGAAAAGTAGTAATTTTATAATTATTTAATATATAAATAATTTATTCAAAAAAGGAGCATATGGCAAGAAAAGGGGAGAAAAGACACTTGAATTTATGTAAAATAATAGAAAAAGTGGCATTATTTTTAATTGAGTATTTGAATAAAAAAAGACAAACAAAACCGGTGTTACCACATAAGAAAGCTTTTTTTTATTTTAATTTTTAATTTTATTCAATTTCTTTTTTATTCTTAAAGGTATAACCAATTTAACGGAAACTTTATAAAATAATTGCAATTATTTTTTCTTACAAAAAGATTTTTTTTCTAAGAAAATCCTTATAAACTTTGGTCAATCCCTTCAATCCCCTTTTCTCTCTTTTTTTTTCTTTAATTTAATTTAGAAAAAAAATGTGAAAATAAAATTAATATTAAATTTGACGCTTTTTTGACATTTTTAGTATATAAATTCTATTTTAGTAGAAATTGAGCTAAATTAGATTATATTTATATTTTTTTGTCACGTGCTTTTTTAAATGAAAAAAAATTTAAAAGTGGAGTTTAAAAATTTTATTTAAAAAAAACGCGCGAAAAGAGTCAGTGGTATATCCCAAAAATTTTTTAGCGAAAATTTTTGCTGAAAAAATTTTTTTGCCCAAAAGATTATAAATTTTTTTCCGTCCAAACTTTTTTGTCCTTTAAGCCCTTGACCTACTCAAAAAATTCTTTAAATTTTCTTAAAACAGATTTTTCCATAAAAATGACATCAATTCTGTCAACGGTTGTTCGAATGTCTTTGATTATGGCTTTCGCCATTTTTGGGAATCTTTTTTTAATTTTTGTGATTCACAAGGGAAACAAAATTTCGAGGTCCAAGATTTCACCCGTTCAAGTATGTAGAATTTTTTTAATTAAAAAAATTAATTTTACTCAATTTTCAGCTTCTAATTCTTCACACTTGCTTTGCCGATCTTTTATTTGCTCTGGTAAATTTTTAAAAAATTTCTTTTTTATTTTTTTTTCCAAAGCTTTCACTAGGCTCAGAAATTGGCATTCTTTTGACTTTTCCTCATTTTTATGCTTCTGATTTGGTTTGCCGTTTAGTTCGATATCTTCAAGTACTTCCACTTTATGCTAGCCCTTTTTTAATGGTTGCTATTAGTATTGACAGATATCAGGTATTTTTTTGAAAACTTCTAAGAAATTTAATGTTCAAAAAAAATTTTGCCTTCAGAAAATTTTTTAGAATGAAACCCTCCCTCCATTCTAAAATTAAATTTTTAAATTTCAAAAAAAAATTTTCAAGGCAATTTGTCGTCCATTAGTTCATTATACCAGCGATCGTTTTCGACGCCCCAATTATTTTGGGTTGACAGCTTGGCTTTTTGCTTCGATTTGCTCTGTTCCCCAACTCTTTATCTGGCAAAAGATGTCAATTGGAAAAATAAGTAACAACACTACAACGAGCATTGTTGAATGGAATTTTGCTGAAAATGATAGGTATAATAAAAATTTTGAGATTTTTTTTTAATTGAAATTTCTTTATAGGAAAGAACAATGCCGGTCAATTTATGGTATTTTTATTTAATTTTTTCAAATTTATTTAAAAAATTTTTTTATGAATGGACCCGGATATTTGGAAGCAAGCATATGTTGTTTGGTTTAGGTAAAAATAAATTTTTAAAATTTCGGAATTAGAATATTTTAATTTTCTAGTGTCATTGCCTGGTTACTCCCTTCTTTAATTTCTGCATTTTTTTATTTTAAAATATGCACAACTGTTTGGAAATTACCTTTTTGGCAAATTCAACAAGACGATAACGAAACTAATTTAAAACCACAAAAAGTTTCAAATTCAATTGAAGCCAGGTTTTTTTGAATTTTGGAAAAATTAAAATTAATTTTCTTTTAAAGTTGTCGATTGACACGCGAATATGTTGAGGTCCTCAGAAAAAGTTCTACAACTTTTCAAAATCAAGTGACTGAATTTGACAAGAAGAGGATTAAGACGGTTATTTTTTTTAATTTTAAAAAAATTTTCTAACAAATCTTTTTCAGGTTAGACTAACCTTAATTATCGTCATGTGCAACTTTTTTCTTTGGTAAACTTTTAAAACAATTTAAAGTTAAAAAAATCATTTTTTAGGCTCCCTTTTTGTCTTATTAATGTACTTCAAGCATTTGCTCATAAATGGGCTTGGGGAAGTTTGTTTAATTTTTATTTTTAAATAAAATAATTTTTTTCAAAGGTGGACAAACAATAATTACACAAATTGCAATTTTGGGGAATTTAAATGCGTGTGTAAATCCTTGGATTTATATTTTGTTTAATAGAAAAATTACAAAGAGAGCATTGGGAACAATTTTTTGCAGGAAAGGTAGTTTAATTAAATTTTAATTAAAAATTTTTTTTAATTTAAAGAATCTGTGGAAATATCCTCACAAAAGGCTCCTTCACGTCACAGTTATGGCCCTACAAGTTTTTTGATTAAACAGAAGGTTGAATCTGAAAGTCAAACTTGAAGATGCTTGTGAGAATCGACAACCCTACTTGTGAGATGATATTTTTGTGACGATCTTCATTTTTATTAAATTTGGTTTTTATTTTTTAATTAATTCTACTTGTATTTATATTTAATTTAATTGCCATAAATTGAATTTTAATCTTTTTATTGATTTTTAAAATTAGTTATAATTTTTTAGTATTGATTTTATCGAGTAGTATCGATTTTCTGAAAATTTAAATTTAAAAAATCGATTAGTATTGATTTTATCGATTGATATCGATTTTTTGAAAATTCCAAATTTTTAAAAAATAAATTATCGATTAGTATTGATTTTATCGATTGATATCGATTTTTTTGAAAATTCCAAATTTTTAAAAAATAAATTATCGATTAGTATTGATTTTATCGATTGATATCGATTTTTTGAAAATTCCAAATTTTAAAAAAATAAATTATCGATTAGTATTAATTTTATCGATTGATATCGATTTTTTGAAAATTTAGAATTTTTAAAAAATAAATTATCGATTAGTAGTGATTTTATCGATTGATATCGATTTTTATTCAAAATTCTTTAAAAATTTTTTAACCTCTCTATTTTGCCTTTTTCCCTACTACACTATTTCTTTTTCGATTTCCCTAACATTGGGATCGATTTTTTGTCATTTAATTTTCCATATATCAATCAAGTTTAAAATATTTAAATATTTATTCGTGCACAAATAAATTTACATTATCTAATTAAGTGTGCATAAAGGTTAATTTACAACGTGCAAAAACGCCAAAACTACAAACGCCAAAAATTTGCGTTTTTACACGTTATAAAATGAGTTTTGCGCACATTTTTAGAGTTTTATAGAATGTGCGCAATGTTCTTCATAAAGACGTAAAACGCAAAAATTGGCGTTTGTTTTGTTTGCGTTTTTTGCGTTATTTTTTCTTGATTTTTGAAATTTTTTTAAAGATTCATAATTTAATATAAGGCTCAATAATTATAAAAATAATGTAATTTTAATGGGAATATATTTAGAAATTGAAGCGGAACAAAATAAAAATTGTGCTAATACTCTTCAGAATTCCTTCCTTAAAAAATTTTGTTTCTGGAATCAAAAAAATTTCAAGCTAATTCTGAAGAGGATTACACAATTAAATAATGAAAAATTGTCTCTGTATATATAACAATTTTTAGAAAATATATAATTTTAAAGTCAACATTAAAAGGCAGTCTAAAAATAATTTTTTAAACCTTTATTTTCTTTTAATTTTACAACAAAACCCAGTTAAAAAATATAAAATAAAGGTTTCTAATTATTAAGGCTGTGATTTATAGGCAAATGCCTATTTTTTCTGCAAGCTTGGGATGTTGTAATACGTTCAAAAAACGTCTTTTTAGCTTGGTCCGAAGAGTCTAGCATGACTTTTAACTTGCCTATTTTTGCCTATTTCGGACTTTTTGAGCCTTTTTGCCTATTTTGGAATTTTCGGTACTATTTTTGCCTTTTTAGCGATTTTTTCTAAATTTTGCCTAAAAATCAGTGAAAAATCTAAAAAAAATCAGTGTCAACTCCCATTTTTAATTTATATTTCGACAAATTGAGTATTTTTACTCTGTTGGACATTTTGAGATTATACGTTTTGTTGGCGGGACATTTTGGGGTGGGACGTTTTGTGGGTTGGGCAAGATTTTCTTTTTGTCAATTATCGACATTTTTAAAAAATTGCACCATTTTTGCTCAAAAATGATTTAAAATGACGAATAAATGGCAAAATTTTCAAAAAACGACGAATAAGCGGTTATTTTATTGTTTTTATCATAATTTTATAGGCTGATAACCTTTTTTATCTGCCTATTTTTGTGCCTTTTTTGGCTTTTTGGTGCCTATTTTAGGCGCCTATTTCACTAATTTTACTTGCCTAACTATCACAGCCTTACTAATTATACTTATATATCACATCTTTAATTGTTTTCAAGAATTTTTGGTGGTCAACTATTAGAAATCAATTTTGACATAAATATCTAAAAAAATGAGTTTTTGATCACCAAAAAAACATACTTTTTGTATGAAAAAATATAATCGAATCATATATAAAAAATAAAATTAATTAACCTTTGTATAATATAAAAGTCAACAAGTTGGAGGAGAAGGTGGTTGTGATATTATTAATAATTGATCTTTTTGTTGTTGTTTCAGGTCATTATTGTCATTAATATTATTACTTGGAGTAAAACTACCACCGTCACTTAAACTTATCCCAGAATCTGATGTTGAATTTAATTGTTGTTGTTCTGATTCTTTATTATTTTCTTCTTTTTTATCCCTCTTTTCCTTGAAATCTTCACTTTTATTTCCTTCTTCTTCTTCATTTTCTTCAAAATCTTCATCATTCTTTTTATTTGATTTTATTCCAGCTATAAATGCTGCCATTTCTTCAGAAGAAAGTGATTGAATTCCATCAAGACTTGTTATTGAACGAGTTGAGGAAAGTGGCTAAAAATTAGGTAATAATAAACAAAACAAAATAAACCGAATCGACATCCTGATCAAAAACAGAACTTCCTCGAATTTGTAATCTAGCTTCATTTTCTGCCTTCTAAAAATATTTTTTTTAATTTATAAAAAATTCAGAAAAAACCTTTGATTCAATTTGTGCCAATTGTGATCTAAGTTCAGCAACTGTTTGTAAAGCTTCTGTATACTTCAATCTTTGCATAATATTTTTTTCTTTCAATTCGCTTTGTAATTCAAGCAATTTACGCTCGCATTCACGCAATTCTTGACGCAATTCTGTTTCCGTCTGAAAAATTTTTAGAAAATTTTTATGAAAATTTTTTTAAAAACTTGAACAGAATTTTCCTTTTCTTCACGTAATCGTCTAATTTCTTCGTCTTGTCTTTTTAGTTGATTAGTGCAAACATGATTTTGTGTCTCCATTTCCATCAACTAATTAATTAATTAAAAATTTTTAGTTAAAAATTTTTGGTTCTTTAGGAAGCATAAACCAGAAAACTACAAAATTTTCCAAAAAAGAATAAAAACCTTTTGTCTCATTTCTTTCAATTCAGCCAAAGTATCAGCTTCTTTTATACGTAAACCAATAAAATTATCTTCCAATTCTCGTTGATTCCAACCTTCCAAAGTTTCCCCATTATTTACTTCATTTAAATTATTTCCTCCACCTCCAACAACAGCAGCCCCAATTATTGTTGCTATTTTTGCTAATCTTGTTTTTGTATTTCTTTTTTGTTGATTATTTTGTTGTTGCTGTTGGTCTGTTGGAGGAGTATTTGTTGAATGGCAAGGCTCTTGTGGGGGTGGAGGGATAACCTCTAATTCTTCATCCACGGAATGGGATGAAAGAGGCGGGGAATGTGCTGATTCTCTGAAAAAAATTGTCGAAAAATTTTCCAAAAATTTTTAAAAATTTAAAAAAACCTTATTTGATTAAAATGTTGAATACCACGTAAATTCATATATGCCTGCCATTGTTGTTCAAATTCAGCAAGTTTTTGACGCATTTCTTTCAGAGAAAGAGATGATTCTGCCTCTCGCATTTTTACACGGATTAATTCCTTAAAAATATTTTTGTAAAAATTTCACAATTAAAAAAGACCTCTTGTATTGCAGCAACTCCTCCTTCTGGTGGGCATTCTTTAAAACGTTTATTTGCTGATTCTAATTCCTTTAAAAGTTCAAAAAAATTTTAAGAAAAATTAAAATAAGCCCTTACATTTATTCGTTGTTTTTGCTCTCGGACTGTGCTTTCTAAATCTGCCTAAAAAATTAAAAAAAAATATATTTAAAAAAATAAATTATTTAAAGAAACCTTTTTAGAATGGGTCTCAATTAATTCTTGTTGTAATTGATGTATATGTTCAATCATTGAAATATCATCTACTTGAACTTCTTGATCTCTCTTTTAATTTTATTTTTAATTAAATAATTATACAAATATAGGTCTGAGGGTGTTTGTTGACCTTGATCGGATTCTATATTAATATTCCAAAAACTAAAGGCCGAGGAAAATTCCCAAGAAGATCAAAAATACTCTATCTGAATCGAACAGTAACGAGGGATCAGATCGGTTCACGTAAGATCCTCCAGTTCAGTCTTTAGTCTGAAATAGGCGTAAAAAATACCCAAGATCTCACCCTAAACCCGGCCACTCTTTACCATAAAAAATATTTATTTTATACAGCTAAAAATTTACCAAGTTGAGACGTTTTTGCATATGCAATTCTCTTATCTAAAAGTTAAAAAATTTTTTAAAAAATTAAAAAAAATTCCCTACCGATTGATGTGCATCTTCCAACCGTCTATGAGCATCATAATTTATATCCCTCAAAATATTTAATTCATGAGAAATATTTAAACAAGTGTCTGCTTGTTGTGCCAAATCAACTTGTCCACGTACTAAACGATCTGCTAAAGCTGAACTTTCACTTTCCAAATAATCTATTCGTTGACGAAGTAATCTGTTTTCTGTTCGCAGACGCTGAAAAGGGAAAATTTTTTATTAATAAAATTTTTAAAAAATTTTTGAAAAATTTTTCTTGACCTTTTTAGACCAATAAAAACGACGTCCCAACTTTCTATAACGAAGTACCATTTTTTAGAAAAAAATAGAAAACAATTTTTTTTGAAGATAGAAAAAAATAGATTAAAAAATAAAGATTTTTTGAAGAATAAAAATAACAAAAAAATAAATTTGTATGTTTTTTAAAAAAGATTTTTATCTCTAAAATAAGAAAAATATTGTTAAAAAAAGAAAATTGTTTCCGATAAAAAATACAGTTGTATACCACGAAATTTATCTACTTCATAAAAAGTAGGCAAGTTCGACCAGTCGATCTAACTACTATTTACCAAATCATACCCTTAATTTACCAAATCATACCCTTGATATTCAGTTGGCCCCACTAGAAGGGGAGTTATTAATTTTAAGAAGGGCATCCCCAAAACTTAATACCCTCTATTTTATATACCCCACGTCTTTTTAATTTAGCAATCAGGAGCTATAATCAGGAGCTATGTAAAATTTAGGTTCGAAAAAATATTTTTTGTTTAAATTTAGAATAAAAAAGAATCAATAAGAAAGAAAATGCATTAAAAAATAATCACGGAAATAATAATTATTATTATTATTGTAGAGGAGTCCTTTTACGGGAACATAATAATAATAATATTTTTACAAGCATTTATTTATATTCCAAAAAAATTTTCTTTTACTCTTTCCATGTCAGTCCTTCCCATATCTGCAGAACGCAATTCTGTATAACGCTCAGAAATAAATGTTGATGCTTCTTCACTCAATACTGGTTTTAATTCTTTTGCCATATAAATATATTTACGAATAAAATGAGTGCTGAGAATTTTTTCTCTGAAAGAAAAAAATTTTTAGGTCTTAAATCCAATAATTTCCCCCAAACCTTTCCTCCATTGCAGTCCATTCACGATTTTTTTCATAAATTTCTTTTGAATTTTCAGAGGATCCATCAGTATTGAATGTTGTTCGATTTTCTAAAGTTGTTCCCATTGGTTGTACAGCACCATCTGACTCTCCTTGTGCTCGATAACGATGTAGCTTTAATACGCTTTCAGCAAGCATTCGGTCACGCTCAACATCATGCTTAAAAATAAATTGTAAGATAATAAAGGGCCAAGTTAGAGATTTCCTGGCACTGTACTCGAATATAGGGTTTAATGACTAGTCTTGGAGTTTATGAAAAAATCCTTACCTCATCCAACATAACAAAGATCAAGTCAAATCTAGAAAGAAGAGAATCTTGCATTCCAATATTTTCCATAGGATTTTTATAAAGATTATAACGTCCAAAAACTGGATTAGCTGCTGCCAAAACTGAACATCTAGCATTTAATTTGGCTTGAATTCCAGCTTTAGAAATTGAAATTCTTCCTTGTTCCATAACTTCGTGAATAGTTGTTCTGTCAATGTCAGTCATCTACAAAGCGGGATAAAATGTCAGCTTTACAAAAATTTTCAAGAAAAAACCTTATCAAATTCATCAATACAAACAATTCCTCTATCAGCTAACACCATTGCCCCAGCTTCCAATTTTCTCTCGCCAGTGTCAGGATCGTGAAGTACAGCAGCTGTTAAACCAACACCTGACGATCCTCTTCCAGTTGTTGCAACAACTCTTGGAGCGGCATGAATTACATATCTTTTACATAAAATCATTATGAATAAATTTAATCTAAAAAACCTCAAAATTTGACTTTTAGCAACAGAAGGATCACCAATAAGTAAAATATTTATATCCCCTCGAAGCCTTGTTCCATTCTCAAGAATTTTTTCACATCCACCAAGTAAAAGACATAAAACGGCTTTTTTAACTTCGTCATGTCCATAAATTGAAGGAGCTAATGAACGTGCCAATAATTCAAAAATATCTTTATGTCGACTCATTTTACGAATTTGTTTAATATCTTCAGGTTCAAAATTAAGTAATAAATCTTTGCTCATAAGTTGAACATTGTTGGCAATCAATACTGATCTTTAAATTTTAAAAATTTTTAAAATTAAAAAACTTTAACCAATAAAATAAAAACCTAAAATTTCCAGTAGACATCCCCGCCTGTTTATTTGGCAAAACACGGAATAGGCCAATAACTTGAATACGATCACCAGGCTTGCAACGATCTGCCAAGTCCTCATCAGCTTAAAAAATGAAATATAAATTATTCTATTTAAAAAAACCAATAATATCAATATTTCTTGGGAGACTTCCAGGAGGAGCAGATTCTGGTAATTCCTTTAAAATTAAATTCAATTAAAATTTTTGTTAAAAATAAAAACTAAAAATACCTGCATAGAAAATATTTGATGGTCTTTATAAACACATTTTCCAAATTCTGTTTCCAAAGGATTTTTATTTTCATCCTAAAAATTTTAATTTAAAAAAAAAATTAAATTAAAAACCCATACTTCTTTAGGGTAAGCATTACTAGTTGGAATAGCTTCATATGAAGTAAAATCTGTATATTTTTTCTCCATAATTTTCTTTGTTGCAGGGCAAAAATGAGAACTTTTGACAATTTTTGGACGAACCAAAGAACCTTTAATAAATAAATTCGACTTTATAAATATTCAAAAAAAACGTACATCTGGTCACTATTCCTTCACAACAGACCAAATTTCCCAAGAAACTTGATTTCAAAGTTCGAGGATTTAAATGACGATCAGCAAAAGACCCTTCAAAGCCAATTCGAAAATCTTTTTCTTTTGCATAATCTGGATCGAGTTTTGAAACAATTTCTTTAAGTGCATGTTCAAAGGCTATTATTTCGTCTACAAATGAACTCAAAAGTCTGAAAATTAATTAAAAAATATTTTAAAAAATAATTTAAATTTACGAAGTAGCTCTTTCCTTCATTTTAAGTCTGACATCGTTTATATCAACAATTAAACGCGCTGTCTCATCTCTTATCATGTCCTCAATTCTGTTAATATAAACACGTTCTTCACCCTAAAAATATATTTAAAAATTAGGGTTAGATCTCCAACCCCATCAGACTTATCCTTCAGAACCCTAAGGGACTCCAAAATTTTCGAAAACACAGACTCCGAACTTTCGAGACTGAATGTTCGGGGTCCATCCCTAATAAAAATTAATTAAATAATTTAAAAACAAACGCTGTCATCCAAAAAATTCAAATATTCTTGTATTATTTCACGCATTCGATTCTCGTCAGCCTTGTCAACCATTCCAAAAGCATTCATTTTAGTAGTAATTGCTGCAGCCATTGTTTTTTAATTTAAAAACTTTTTTAATCTAAAAAATAAAAATTTCAAAGAAAACCAAACATAAATTTAGGTAAAAATTTAGAAAAGCGTCGAAAAATTTTTTTAAAGAAATTAAAAAGAAAATTGCCCGCTCAATTATTTTATTAAGTTTCGAAGCGAATTGGTAAAAATTACTGTAGCAAAAGACTTCTAAGGAGAAGGGAGGAGAAAAGAAATATAACTAGTTAGAGATTTTTAGTGGTTAGAGTAAAATTTTAATTTTTTTTTCATTTTTGTTTGCTGGTTTTTCTTTGGGATTTTTATCATTTTTTAACATTTATTTATCGATATTTAATTTTTATCTTTTTAGTCTGTCAAGTAAGTTTTAAATAATCTAAAAATATGGGTATTTCTCAAGACAATTGGCATAAACGACGCAAAACTGGAGGAAAGCGTAATCCAATTCATAAGAAGCGTAAACACGAATTGGGACGTCCTAGTGCGAATACAAAGGTTTTATTTTTGTGAATAATATTTTTATTTAATTAAAAAAACAGATTGGACCTAAACGTATTCATCTTGTTCGCTGCCGTGGAGGAAACATAAAACATCGTGCTTTGCGTCTTGATACGGGAAACTTTGCTTGGGCATCTGAAGGTTAACAAGATTTATTTTTCTTGTTATTGAACGTTTTACGTTTCAAAAATTGATGGGGGGTTTCTGTGATTCTCTTGTTCCATTCAATAAAATCTCAACTGTCGTTCCCATCTCTTCGAGTAGACTAGAGGAAGGCGGGTCTATTCCCACTTTCGCTTTATAAAATACTCGAAAATAAGTTGAGAAATTATGCAAATGTTTTGTTAATTAATTTTAAAACACTTCATTTCACCTCTTTTCTCAACAACGCCTTTTTCCTTATTTTCTTTACTCTAACTGTCTTTATCGTCATTTTTAAACAATTTTTAAGGTTGTACTAGAAAGACTCGTATAATCGACACTGTCTACAACGCTTCAAATAACGAATTGGTTCGAACCAAAACTCTGGTTAAAGGTTCAATTATTACCATTGATGCTGTGCCTTTTCGTCAATGGTATGAGGCTCATTATGCTTTGCCTTTGGCACGCAAAAAGGGTCAAAAATTGACGGAGGAGGAAGAACAAAGAATTTCTGGGCATAAAAGATCGAAGAAGACTTTGAAGAAATATTCGGATCGTCAGAAGACTGCTGCTGTTGAACCTCATGTTTTGGAACAATTTCAAGCTGGACGTCTTTTGGGTTTTATTTTAATTTGATTTCTTATTTGACATTAAATTTTCAAATTTCAGCTCGTATAAGTTCTCGTCCTGGACAAAGTGGACGTTGTGATGGTTATATTTTGGAAGGAAAAGAATTGGAGTTTTATATGAAGAAGGTATGTTTTTTAAAATATTTTTGTTTAAAAATTAAAAAAAAAAATTTTTAGATCCGTGCAAAGAAAACCAAATAAATTTAAAAATGGAAAAAAGGTTTTGTTGTCTTTGTTATTATTTTGATTGTTTAATGTGTTGAAAATGAAAGTAAAAAGTTGAGAAAAATTTTTTTGGATTTTTTGGGGAAATAATTTTAGAGGAAAAATATTTTTATTGTTGTCCTTGTTCCAAGTTAAAAAAATATTAAAATATTTCCGTTGCCATTAAAGTCCTTTTAACGTCTGAAAATGACATTTAGACATTTTAAAAGTGTAATAAGTTTTTTTTTATAATTTGGCACACCCCGATTTTTTTGTCCTTATTATTCCTCATTTCTCCATATCTTTCTCTATTTCCGTTTCCTTCTATTTCCAATATAATTTTCTATTTTATTCATTCTTTTATAATCTTACCATTTCATTTCTCCAATCCCCTTCTAATTCTCTTCCATTTTATTCATCTTCTCAGAATTTTTCAATTCCTTCTTCAACTCCTTTTTCTCTTCCGATTCTCTTCCACCCCTCCTTCTCCACTTCCACCCTCTTATTTCATTTATCTTCTTATAAGCTTCCAATTCCTTCTTCACTACCTTTTCGCATCTTCCAATCTCCTTCCATTCTTAACTCCCCGTAAATATATTTCTTCTCGTCATTCAGATATTCTTACAAGTTTCCCCAAACTTTTTCTTCATGAACCTACTTTTTTTCTTGTTTAACCAACTTAAGAATGAAAAGTAGTAATTTTATAATTATTTAATATATAAATAATTTATTCAAAAAAGGAGCATATGGCAAGAAAAGGGGAGAAAAGACACTTGAATTTATGTAAAATAATAGAAAAAGTGGCATTATTTTTAATTGAGTATTTGAATAAAAAAAGACAAACAAAACCGGTGTTACCACATAAGAAAGCTTTTTTTTATTTTAATTTTTAATTTTATTCAATTTCTTTTTTATTCTTAAAGGTATAACCAATTTAACGGAAACTTTATAAAATAATTGCAATTATTTTTTCTTACAAAAAGATTTTTTTTCTAAGAAAATCCTTATAAACTTTGGTCAATCCCTTCAATCCCCTTTTCTCTCTTTTTTTTTCTTTAATTTAATTTAGAAAAAAAATGTGAAAATAAAATTAATATTAAATTTGACGCTTTTTTGACATTTTTAGTATATAAATTCTATTTTAGTAGAAATTGAGCTAAATTAGATTATATTTATATTTTTTTGTCACGTGCTTTTTTAAATGAAAAAAAATTTAAAAGTGGAGTTTAAAAATTTTATTTAAAAAAAACGCGCGAAAAGAGTCAGTGGTATATCCCAAAAATTTTTTAGCGAAAATTTTTGCTGAAAAAATTTTTTTGCCCAAAAGATTATAAATTTTTTTCCGTCCAAACTTTTTTGTCCTTTAAGCCCTTGACCTACTCAAAAAATTCTTTAAATTTTCTTAAAACAGATTTTTCCATAAAAATGACATCAATTCTGTCAACGGTTGTTCGAATGTCTTTGATTATGGCTTTCGCCATTTTTGGGAATCTTTTTTTAATTTTTGTGATTCACAAGGGAAACAAAATTTCGAGGTCCAAGATTTCACCCGTTCAAGTATGTAGAATTTTTTTAATTAAAAAAATTAATTTTACTCAATTTTCAGCTTCTAATTCTTCACACTTGCTTTGCCGATCTTTTATTTGCTCTGGTAAATTTTTAAAAAATTTCTTTTTTATTTTTTTTTCCAAAGCTTTCACTAGGCTCAGAAATTGGCATTCTTTTGACTTTTCCTCATTTTTATGCTTCTGATTTGGTTTGCCGTTTAGTTCGATATCTTCAAGTACTTCCACTTTATGCTAGCCCTTTTTTAATGGTTGCTATTAGTATTGACAGATATCAGGTATTTTTTTGAAAACTTCTAAGAAATTTAATGTTCAAAAAAAATTTTGCCTTCAGAAAATTTTTTAGAATGAAACCCTCCCTCCATTCTAAAATTAAATTTTTAAATTTCAAAAAAAAATTTTCAAGGCAATTTGTCGTCCATTAGTTCATTATACCAGCGATCGTTTTCGACGCCCCAATTATTTTGGGTTGACAGCTTGGCTTTTTGCTTCGATTTGCTCTGTTCCCCAACTCTTTATCTGGCAAAAGATGTCAATTGGAAAAATAAGTAACAACACTACAACGAGCATTGTTGAATGGAATTTTGCTGAAAATGATAGGTATAATAAAAATTTTGAGATTTTTTTTTAATTGAAATTTCTTTATAGGAAAGAACAATGCCGGTCAATTTATGGTATTTTTATTTAATTTTTTCAAATTTATTTAAAAAATTTTTTTATGAATGGACCCGGATATTTGGAAGCAAGCATATGTTGTTTGGTTTAGGTAAAAATAAATTTTTAAAATTTCGGAATTAGAATATTTTAATTTTCTAGTGTCATTGCCTGGTTACTCCCTTCTTTAATTTCTGCATTTTTTTATTTTAAAATATGCACAACTGTTTGGAAATTACCTTTTTGGCAAATTCAACAAGACGATAACGAAACTAATTTAAAACCACAAAAAGTTTCAAATTCAATTGAAGCCAGGTTTTTTTGAATTTTGGAAAAATTAAAATTAATTTTCTTTTAAAGTTGTCGATTGACACGCGAATATGTTGAGGTCCTCAGAAAAAGTTCTACAACTTTTCAAAATCAAGTGACTGAATTTGACAAGAAGAGGATTAAGACGGTTATTTTTTTTAATTTTAAAAAAATTTTCTAACAAATCTTTTTCAGGTTAGACTAACCTTAATTATCGTCATGTGCAACTTTTTTCTTTGGTAAACTTTTAAAACAATTTAAAGTTAAAAAAATCATTTTTTAGGCTCCCTTTTTGTCTTATTAATGTACTTCAAGCATTTGCTCATAAATGGGCTTGGGGAAGTTTGTTTAATTTTTATTTTTAAATAAAATAATTTTTTTCAAAGGTGGACAAACAATAATTACACAAATTGCAATTTTGGGGAATTTAAATGCGTGTGTAAATCCTTGGATTTATATTTTGTTTAATAGAAAAATTACAAAGAGAGCATTGGGAACAATTTTTTGCAGGAAAGGTAGTTTAATTAAATTTTAATTAAAAATTTTTTTTAATTTAAAGAATCTGTGGAAATATCCTCACAAAAGGCTCCTTCACGTCACAGTTATGGCCCTACAAGTTTTTTGATTAAACAGAAGGTTGAATCTGAAAGTCAAACTTGAAGATGCTTGTGAGAATCGACAACCCTACTTGTGAGATGATATTTTTGTGACGATCTTCATTTTTATTAAATTTGGTTTTTATTTTTTAATTAATTCTACTTGTATTTATATTTAATTTAATTGCCATAAATTGAATTTTAATCTTTTTATTGATTTTTAAAATTAGTTATAATTTTTTAGTATTGATTTTATCGAGTAGTATCGATTTTCTGAAAATTTAAATTTAAAAAATCGATTAGTATTGATTTTATCGATTGATATCGATTTTTTGAAAATTCCAAATTTTTAAAAAATAAATTATCGATTAGTATTGATTTTATCGATTGATATCGATTTTTTTGAAAATTCCAAATTTTTAAAAAATAAATTATCGATTAGTATTGATTTTATCGATTGATATCGATTTTTTGAAAATTCCAAATTTTAAAAAAATAAATTATCGATTAGTATTAATTTTATCGATTGATATCGATTTTTTGAAAATTTAGAATTTTTAAAAAATAAATTATCGATTAGTAGTGATTTTATCGATTGATATCGATTTTTATTCAAAATTCTTTAAAAATTTTTTAACCTCTCTATTTTGCCTTTTTCCCTACTACACTATTTCTTTTTCGATTTCCCTAACATTGGGATCGATTTTTTGTCATTTAATTTTCCATATATCAATCAAGTTTAAAATATTTAAATATTTATTCGTGCACAAATAAATTTACATTATCTAATTAAGTGTGCATAAAGGTTAATTTACAACGTGCAAAAACGCCAAAACTACAAACGCCAAAAATTTGCGTTTTTACACGTTATAAAATGAGTTTTGCGCACATTTTTAGAGTTTTATAGAATGTGCGCAATGTTCTTCATAAAGACGTAAAACGCAAAAATTGGCGTTTGTTTTGTTTGCGTTTTTTGCGTTATTTTTTCTTGATTTTTGAAATTTTTTTAAAGATTCATAATTTAATATAAGGCTCAATAATTATAAAAATAATGTAATTTTAATGGGAATATATTTAGAAATTGAAGCGGAACAAAATAAAAATTGTGCTAATACTCTTCAGAATTCCTTCCTTAAAAAATTTTGTTTCTGGAATCAAAAAAATTTCAAGCTAATTCTGAAGAGGATTACACAATTAAATAATGAAAAATTGTCTCTGTATATATAACAATTTTTAGAAAATATATAATTTTAAAGTCAACATTAAAAGGCAGTCTAAAAATAATTTTTTAAACCTTTATTTTCTTTTAATTTTACAACAAAACCCAGTTAAAAAATATAAAATAAAGGTTTCTAATTATTAAGGCTGTGATTTATAGGCAAATGCCTATTTTTTCTGCAAGCTTGGGATGTTGTAATACGTTCAAAAAACGTCTTTTTAGCTTGGTCCGAAGAGTCTAGCATGACTTTTAACTTGCCTATTTTTGCCTATTTCGGACTTTTTGAGCCTTTTTGCCTATTTTGGAATTTTCGGTACTATTTTTGCCTTTTTAGCGATTTTTTCTAAATTTTGCCTAAAAATCAGTGAAAAATCTAAAAAAAATCAGTGTCAACTCCCATTTTTAATTTATATTTCGACAAATTGAGTATTTTTACTCTGTTGGACATTTTGAGATTATACGTTTTGTTGGCGGGACATTTTGGGGTGGGACGTTTTGTGGGTTGGGCAAGATTTTCTTTTTGTCAATTATCGACATTTTTAAAAAATTGCACCATTTTTGCTCAAAAATGATTTAAAATGACGAATAAATGGCAAAATTTTCAAAAAACGACGAATAAGCGGTTATTTTATTGTTTTTATCATAATTTTATAGGCTGATAACCTTTTTTATCTGCCTATTTTTGTGCCTTTTTTGGCTTTTTGGTGCCTATTTTAGGCGCCTATTTCACTAATTTTACTTGCCTAACTATCACAGCCTTACTAATTATACTTATATATCACATCTTTAATTGTTTTCAAGAATTTTTGGTGGTCAACTATTAGAAATCAATTTTGACATAAATATCTAAAAAAATGAGTTTTTGATCACCAAAAAAACATACTTTTTGTATGAAAAAATATAATCGAATCATATATAAAAAATAAAATTAATTAACCTTTGTATAATATAAAAGTCAACAAGTTGGAGGAGAAGGTGGTTGTGATATTATTAATAATTGATCTTTTTGTTGTTGTTTCAGGTCATTATTGTCATTAATATTATTACTTGGAGTAAAACTACCACCGTCACTTAAACTTATCCCAGAATCTGATGTTGAATTTAATTGTTGTTGTTCTGATTCTTTATTATTTTCTTCTTTTTTATCCCTCTTTTCCTTGAAATCTTCACTTTTATTTCCTTCTTCTTCTTCATTTTCTTCAAAATCTTCATCATTCTTTTTATTTGATTTTATTCCAGCTATAAATGCTGCCATTTCTTCAGAAGAAAGTGATTGAATTCCATCAAGACTTGTTATTGAACGAGTTGAGGAAAGTGGCTAAAAATTAGGTAATAATAAACAAAACAAAATAAACCGAATCGACATCCTGATCAAAAACAGAACTTCCTCGAATTTGTAATCTAGCTTCATTTTCTGCCTTCTAAAAATATTTTTTTTAATTTATAAAAAATTCAGAAAAAACCTTTGATTCAATTTGTGCCAATTGTGATCTAAGTTCAGCAACTGTTTGTAAAGCTTCTGTATACTTCAATCTTTGCATAATATTTTTTTCTTTCAATTCGCTTTGTAATTCAAGCAATTTACGCTCGCATTCACGCAATTCTTGACGCAATTCTGTTTCCGTCTGAAAAATTTTTAGAAAATTTTTATGAAAATTTTTTTAAAAACTTGAACAGAATTTTCCTTTTCTTCACGTAATCGTCTAATTTCTTCGTCTTGTCTTTTTAGTTGATTAGTGCAAACATGATTTTGTGTCTCCATTTCCATCAACTAATTAATTAATTAAAAATTTTTAGTTAAAAATTTTTGGTTCTTTAGGAAGCATAAACCAGAAAACTACAAAATTTTCCAAAAAAGAATAAAAACCTTTTGTCTCATTTCTTTCAATTCAGCCAAAGTATCAGCTTCTTTTATACGTAAACCAATAAAATTATCTTCCAATTCTCGTTGATTCCAACCTTCCAAAGTTTCCCCATTATTTACTTCATTTAAATTATTTCCTCCACCTCCAACAACAGCAGCCCCAATTATTGTTGCTATTTTTGCTAATCTTGTTTTTGTATTTCTTTTTTGTTGATTATTTTGTTGTTGCTGTTGGTCTGTTGGAGGAGTATTTGTTGAATGGCAAGGCTCTTGTGGGGGTGGAGGGATAACCTCTAATTCTTCATCCACGGAATGGGATGAAAGAGGCGGGGAATGTGCTGATTCTCTGAAAAAAATTGTCGAAAAATTTTCCAAAAATTTTTAAAAATTTAAAAAAACCTTATTTGATTAAAATGTTGAATACCACGTAAATTCATATATGCCTGCCATTGTTGTTCAAATTCAGCAAGTTTTTGACGCATTTCTTTCAGAGAAAGAGATGATTCTGCCTCTCGCATTTTTACACGGATTAATTCCTTAAAAATATTTTTGTAAAAATTTCACAATTAAAAAAGACCTCTTGTATTGCAGCAACTCCTCCTTCTGGTGGGCATTCTTTAAAACGTTTATTTGCTGATTCTAATTCCTTTAAAAGTTCAAAAAAATTTTAAGAAAAATTAAAATAAGCCCTTACATTTATTCGTTGTTTTTGCTCTCGGACTGTGCTTTCTAAATCTGCCTAAAAAATTAAAAAAAAATATATTTAAAAAAATAAATTATTTAAAGAAACCTTTTTAGAATGGGTCTCAATTAATTCTTGTTGTAATTGATGTATATGTTCAATCATTGAAATATCATCTACTTGAACTTCTTGATCTCTCTTTTAATTTTATTTTTAATTAAATAATTATACAAATATAGGTCTGAGGGTGTTTGTTGACCTTGATCGGATTCTATATTAATATTCCAAAAACTAAAGGCCGAGGAAAATTCCCAAGAAGATCAAAAATACTCTATCTGAATCGAACAGTAACGAGGGATCAGAT